TAATCACTGTGAAAAAAAATCACATCATGTTGCTGCTGATCTGTTTCATGTTGCTGCTGATCTGTTTCATGTTGCTGCTGATCTGTTTCATGTTGATGTGTCCATTCATGCTCATCTGCTCACACAGACTCATGTTCGTGCTGCTGTTGGACGTAATGTTTTTATGCTGTTAGTGCTTAGTTTATATTTAGTTGATCTTTTTCTTAGTTCATATCTTAGATCTTATTATTGTTGGTTTTACATTTTATTGTTGGATGTAACTGGGACCCTGTGTACATAATTTCATTCCACCACATGGGGTGCGAATGACAATTAAAAAAAACTGAATTTTAGCACCTGATGGCTGTTTACTGTTCACAGAGGGCTGAGTGATACTAGCAATCACAGCATTGTAAGAGGGGGACAGTTGAACCTGGAGGCTCCGCCCCTGTTTAATGATGGACGGTTTCTTTTCACAAAGATGGCCTCCTTTACTCCTCTCTCAAACCATCGTTCCTCTCTGTCCAGGATGTGAACATCTTCATCCCTGAAAGTGTCATGATCAGCAGCCCCCGCTGGCCCCCATCTGCTCACTTCCCTGCCCCTTCATGACATGCTGTTTTCTGCCATTCTGGTCATAGTTTCTGTTCATGTTTATTCTCATCTCCTGTCAACCTGCACCTCTGCCTGCTCACTTCACTACACCCCCTCAGCTTATCACAGCAATCAGCCCTGATTCAACTCACCTGTTCAGCTCATTTGGTTCACCTGCTCAGTCTGCACCCTTCATAAGATCCATTTTCTCTCTCCACCAGTGCGAGATTATTATACCTTCCATGGTCCCTGATTTTCAAGCCTTCATAGTTTCATGCCTGAACCTCAAGCCTTGTTCTCTGGATTATAGACCTCACGCCTGCCTTCTGGATTTCCCGTTTTTTGCCTGGCCCTCATCTGGTTCTGTTCTGCCTCTCTGACCACGGTAACGACCTCCTCTTCAGTCTATGACCTCGACTCACGGATCACCCTTTTGGATTGCCCTTTGGACCAGAAACTTTCATTGCCCCACTGTCCATAGCATTAAAGGCCTCCCTCTGCAGCTACCAGCAGCCTTATTAATAAAAGCTGTTAATTTTTGCACTCCTGTGTCTGGCTTATTTTGAATCCAAAACCTTGGTTCATGACAGAAAGAGTGACTTCTGGCCTGGAGATGAGTGTAGACCTCAGAGTCCTGGTTTGATGATGTTGATCTTCTGTGCTGGTCCATCCTTTTGGCCAGTGGCTGTTTAGTTTCCCCGATGTAAGACTGATCACCCTCCTGACACTGAACAACATACACAATATTACTCTGTTTGTGCCGGGGGACTGGATCTTTGGGATGAACCAGTC